AAACCACAATTGCTTGTTGTGGTTAGTTCGGATAAGTAAAGCCTAATTGTTCTAATTATTCTGGGGAATTAAGTTGTTCTCAATTTTCAAACTAAGCTTTCCATCTATTTCCGGTAGAAGTTGTTGCCTTATTTTCTATTAATCCAAATATAGCCTTAAGTAAGACCACTAACTGTGGGTGACAATATGTATGAAGCAAAAATATGTAAGACCAAATATAGGCCCCATTTTAGCATCTGAACCTTTGATGTGTAAGACCAAATTCAAGATTGACACCCTCCATTAAAGAAATGACATATTTGGTGGTCTGAGAGGAAAGATCATCCTTGTATTCAATTGACTAATGAGGTAATTTTAAGAGTTGTATATATAGAATCAGGGAATTTGAATCAAGAAGAAGAGTCGTAAAATAAGTAAATTTTACTTTCCTCGACTAGGTTATATAGGAATTTTGTTTTTGATCTAATAAAATTTTCTTACCTTATCCTATTAGCATCATTATCATGCCTCAAATCTTGTATTTTAAACACTACATCAAAATTTAGAAATAGTGGCAGTTTTGTAGGTGACTAAAGGCTCACTGCTGCTAAAATTAATAGTCTATAGCAGCAGTCATTTAAAATTGTCATTATAAACTGCATCGACTGCCACTAACAGTCAAATAAGGCGCAAAAATTTCCCCCTGTTTCTTTTCTCATTTTATTTCCGCCCTCTTTCTCTTTCGCACTCTTCATCTCTCATAGACTAGTCAACCTCTCACCATCGTAACTTGGTGAGAGGTTAGTATCAGAGTCCACGTGTATTGCTTCCGTGAAAGTCTAAATCTTGTTCCCATCAAAAACAATCTTGAGCTCTTCATACAGCTAAGCTTGTGCTTTGATCAAATAGTGGAAATAGAAATGGAATTTGTTGCGATGCAATTTTTCTTTTTCAAAGAGGATCTTTTCAGATTATTATTCCTAGGGCCTATCTGGTTCATGGGATTCAAATTGGATTATACGATTACATTCTTAGAATCAAAATTCGGATTTGCATATTTGTTTATCCTATGAACTATTGATAGAATGTTTATTAGCTCTTTTAGATTGACGTCCTGAGGTTAGTATTTTACTACTTCTTTGGTTCCTTTAGAACAAGTAAACTTGAATTCAAATAGTAGGTTTATTTTTGGGTTAGAAATGGAAGTGGGATTTGTTTGTTGTAGTTCAAATAGTAGGTTTCTATTTTGTGCATGTTATTGGGATTGAAATGGAATGCTGAGTATAAGATTTTTGCAATGAAATACATAAATAGAATTCCTATTAGGTCTTTTAGTTTCTTTAATCCTTGGTTTCTAATTTTCTACTATTTTCTTGGCTCTGATTTAGACAATTATAGGTTTTTACTTTTGGGGCTTGTCTACTAGGTTTTCTGTGGTGGTTTATTTGTTTTAAATCATAGGCACTTTTATCCCTTCTAAATATCTTTACCATATAATGTTGATACTTTCCTTGGCTTCATGACAATATGAACATCAAAAACGTTTTTCTATAGAGGAAAAGACATTTGTTCATGAAGTTTAATTGGCTATCTTTGACATACCATGTAAGAATATAGTCTTTGCTTCTACCCTTTGTTATCTATGTGCTTTTTAAATCTTGTTCTTGAATTGAGTAGGTCAAAGGGAAATTTGAAAAGCTAACCCATTTTCAAGTGCCTAAATTTTCAAGTCTAAAGCTAAAGACGTCCTTTAATTTTGATAGGTTTGCAAGTGAAGTTTTTGTTCTTATGGAGCTTTCATTTGTACTTGTAAAACATGTAAGTTATGTCTTGCCACTATATGTCTCATGGTCTTGCTTTTTAATGCCATTTTCTAAAGATTATTATAGGAATCATATAGAAGGGGTTACCCATAAGGCTTCTTGTGATTATTGAAGCTATACTCTGGTAATCTAACTTCTTTGACCCACTAGAATCTCCTTCTCAACCCAAAACAATAATCTATTATGACTTGAATGCTCTGTGAATTGTGTGGTTGACTTCCTTTCAATAGCATGACAAAAAGAATAATCTTTTTGATGTTTTTTCATCTTTGAATCTTCCAGGTATCTAAGGGCTGTCAAGGTAGAGGAAAGGTGCAACACGAATGGGGAGATGGACTAATTTCAAGGGAAGACCACAGTCCAATACACCACTTTGACCATTATACATTCAATAACAACTTATTTTGTATGCTTTTGATTTCTAAAGATCCTTACATTCCTTTCTTCCTAGATAGTTCAAAATCCAAATGATAACATCCCCTGTGCATCTCTAAAGATCCTTACATTATGTTTGTGTTTGCAGACTACAGTTGTTGATGACATTCATTTCACAAAAGATATGCTTATTGATAATTCCACCAAGGCTGCCTCCAAATTTACACAGAAAAAATCATCATCCTATAAAACCTATGCTTCCAACATTCCTAGAAAATTGGTCCTTATGACAGTAAATTTTTGGTGTGCATCCAAAATTTCTGTAGCTGAACTGATCCTACTATTTTTATTTATTTGAACACTATTGGTAGCAATGGGAAAGACCTTCAAATATCTGGAATCCAATTGGATCAAAACCATATTATTTCCATATTTCTTTTTCTCTTCTCTATTTATTTGAACACTATTATCTGATTTTCTGC